AGTTTTTTTCTTTCATATTACTAGATTGATGTAGGTCAACTGACCAAACCATATAAAGTATATTATGCATCTTTTAGTATAATTCTCTTTGTTGTCTGATTCATCTTAGTTCAAGGTTTGATTTGTTAGTTTCAGCATAACGTCTTGTTATTTTGATCCCAACAATATGTTAGAAGTGGCAAGATCTCTCATGTTTACCATGAATCTACCCAAATCTTACTGGGCAAATGCCATTCTAGTAGTTGCCTATCTCATCAACAAAATGCCACTTAAAACCCTCAATTTTAGAATCCTTTGGAAGCATTAAAGGGTAAGAATGATTATATTGTTTCTCCGAATATATTTGGGTGTGTTTGCTTTGTTCACACTAAGAACTTAAATGTGCCTTTATTGAGTATTCTCCAATACATAAAGGGTACAAATGATATCATCCTCCCTCTAGAAGATCCTTTATCAGTATGGATGCCAAATTTCGAGATATTTCAGTATTACATCATCACCTTTTCAGGGAAAGAGCTATAAGGAGGAAGAAATGAGTTTCCCAAGATCCACGGTTGAAACCACTGTCACTACCACTAAGGAAAGTGAAATTGGAAAAAGAATTCAGCGAGGAAAATATTAGGCGTTTGGATAGACCCGATTTAAAATTTTACTCAAGGAGAAATAGAGCAAAAGAAGCCATCATACAATCTATCGAAGCTGAACTTTCTTCTACTAGTGAGTTATCTGCATTTCTTAATGAGTTGGATTTGCCTATTGCTCACAGAAAAGGAATCAGATCTTGCACCACCAAATACCCTTTATATAATTTTGTCTCCTATAATTCTTTATCTCCCTCATATAAAGCCTTTGCCTTATCTATTTCTTCTGTGTCTATTCCCCATAATCAGCGGAAAGCTTTTGTAGTCCTAAATGGAAGCAAGCTATGATTGAAGAAATGAAGGCCTTGTCAAAAAATGAAACTTGGGAACTTGTCCTTTCACCACTAAACACAAAGTTGGTTGGCTGCAAATGGGTCTTCACCATAAAGCACAAAGTTGATGGATCGATTGAAAGATTCAAAGCAAGATTGGTCGCTAAGGGATTCACTCAAACTTATGGAGTGGACTATCAAGAGACACTTGCCCGTGTTGCTGAAATGAACACTGTCAGGATTCTTTTGTCTAGCGGCTAGTTTTGATTGGGACTAATAACAGTTTGAAGTGAAGAATGCATTTCTTCGTGGAGACTTAGCAGAAGAGGCATACATGGAAATTTCTCTTAGATTTGATACTAAACAAAGTCTAAGGAAAGGTGTGCAGACTAAAGAAAGCCTTTTACGGATTGAATCAATCCCCTAGGGCTTGGATTGACAAATTCTGCAAAGCAATAACCTCCTTTGGTTACCAACAAAGCAATGATGATCACACCCTATTCATGAACTATGTTGTAGCTCACTGGCATCATAAAATCTTGATTTAAGCAATAAAAATATAAAGATTTTCAAGTTGCATCTAGTAGCAGTTTTAGTTCCATTCTATAAGCTACTTAAGATTGTTTTTGGATTATAGGATCATATAAGTCAAGTGAAACTACATGGAAAAGAATAGCAAGTTCATTAATTGCCTTTTTTCTTAAATATCGGTGTTATTCGTGCCAGCTTGCATGCACCTCGAATATTCCATCTAGTACCTACTACCTCACACTAGCACAGGAACCGATAACTTTACCACTATGACTTGGACAGATAGGAAGGAATCACCTAGAGTTTTTTGTCTCTAGATTTGAATCTTGGTCTCCCAGGTAGTTTATGAACTACTTTTTTGTACGGACAACAAATATGGAAACCATACTTACAATCGTTAATTATAGAGGGTTTTTATTTCTAGAATTGATGTAACAGTTTTTGAATAAGTTTGTGGCATTTGAACAAGTCAAAATCTATGGTTTGAATAAGTCCAAGTTGGAACCTTTGGATGTAAAGTGTTATCGAAATACAAATTCTTTTTTCTCAATTTCAACATGATAAGAGAGCCATTGCTGCCTTTTTTAGGTGAGTTTCCTCCCTCTGCAACACTAGGGTTTATAGGTTGAGATTCTTCCCTATTTCAAAAGAATAACTTCCAGTATCACTGTTAGAAAGCAACTTTACCACCTTCCGTCAGTCCTGCTGCGCACAAACCAAAACCACTCGGAGGCTCTCTGTATATTTTGGATCTCTTTAAAGAAACTAGTATAACAGGATGCAAACCAGCATAATCGCCTAGTGAAAGCAATCACAAGTTACAAACTGGAGTTGCATAGTCTGTTAATAAGGAGAGATATCAGAGGTTGGTTGGAAGACTCATTTACCTCTCGCACACTAGACCAGATATAGCTTATTCAGTCAGCATGGTAAGTCAATTCATGCATGATCCCCGGGAGTCGGCTATTCTTCATATTTTGCGGTATCTGAAGCCTGCTCCAGGCAAAAGTCTCCTTTTCTCCAAACATAGCCACCTCCATGTAGGAAGCCTATACAGGTGCATATTGGGCTGGAACTCTAGATGACAGAAGATCTATATCTGGTTAATGTATGCTCGTAGGAGGGAACTTAGTTACTTGAAGAAGGAATAAGCAAAGTCTTATAGCTACATCAAGTGCAGAGGCAAAATATAGATCCATAGCCCATGGTGTTTGTAAACTTATGTGGCTACAAAAGCTACTAAAGGAATTGAGATTGTCTGGAAAAGGGAACCTTTTCCTACCAAGGCTGCAAACAGTATAGCTCATAATCTTGTTCGACATGACCGAAAGAAACGAAATTAATCGACACTTCATCAAAGAAACGATTATAAGTGGTATCTTGACTTTGCTTCATCAGAGAACAACTAGTTGATGTGTTTACAAAAAAACTCAACAAAAGATCCTTTCACATACTAGCTTGCAAGTTGGACATGTGTGACATCTTTACACCAACTTGAAGGGGAGTGTTAATTGTAGGAGGTTTTTATTCCTATAATCAATGTAACAGTTTTTGACAAAGTCTTATTTGAATAAGTCTAAGGTATTTGAATAAGTCAAAGTCAGTGATTTGAACAAGTCCTAGGAGGAACCTTGTATATATACCCCTTCTCAGGAACGTAAAGTAATATTAAAATACAAAGAATCTTTTCTTCTTTCTCAATTTCAACAAAATGCATGGAGTCTAAGAGAAAGAAGTTACCAATGTGAAGATTAAGTTGTTGTAGGAATCAGATCAGGTAATGGGTTATTTTAAGGGTTGGGTTTGGTTAAATGAACCAGGTGTTTAAAATGTGTTTATAGCCCTCCATGTGTCGATTTAATTGGTAAACCAGGGTCTCTTAAAGGTTGAGGGGTTTAGTTAAAATGTGTAACGATGAGGCTATATACAATCGAGTACTCAAAGAAAGGATATATGTAAATAATTTTTCAAAGTAGAGGGGTAAATATGACATTTTTCCGAATATAATATTATATTTATAGTAAGAATATAGAGGCGTGTTTAACAAAATACCTTTATTATTTTTTATTTTTTATTATTTTTTGTTTGCGTAAAGCCTTGTCACGTCATGATCAAGATACACTCTTGCATATCATTCTATATTATTGGAAAAAAAGAACCCAACAGCAACAACAACAAACCTAGTGAAATCCCACAAATTGGGGTCTGGGAGGGTAGAGTGTACGCAGACCTTACCCCTACCTTACGAAGGTAGAGGTTGTTTCTGATAGACTCCTGGCTCAAGAGGAAAAAAAACTAAAAAGGAAGTAGAAACAACTAGTAACCATAGCGAGCAAAGGTGATATAATAACCGAAGCGAAAGAAACGACATATAGTAAAAAAACAATATGGGGATACGAAGAAAAGAAAATACGAGACTAACGCTAATGATACCGGCATATAAATATGACACCACCGCTTAACCACTACCCTTCTACCATAATTCTCAACCTCCATACCTTTCTATCAAGGGTCATGTCCTCAGTAAGTTGAAGTAGCGTCATGTCATACCTAATCACCTCATCCCAATACTTCTTGGGCCTACCTCTACCTCTTCTTAGCCCCTCATAGCCAACCTCTCAAACCTCCTCATTGAGGCATCTATGCACCTCCTCTTCACATGTCCGTACCATCTCAATCTAGCTTCCCTCATCTTGTCCTCTACGGGTGTCACTCCCACTTTTCCCGAATATCAACATTCCTTATCTAACCTGGTATATCCACACATCCATATCAGCATCCTCATTTCTGCTACTTTCATCTTCTGGACATGGGCCGCGTCAGAACAACCATCACCAAGGCAAATAAAAATAGGCTAAGCCCGGATCCTTGATGCAAGCCCACCCCAACAGGGAAGTGTTCTGAGTCTCCTCCCACCGTCCTAACCCGAGTCTTAACGCCATCATACATATCCTGGATCACCCTAGTATAAACTACGGACGCACCTCTAACCTCGAAACACCTCCAAAGAACCTCCCTCGAAACCTTGTCATAAGCTTTTTCTAGGTTAATAAACACCATGTGCAAGTTCTTCTTCCTATCCCTATACTGCTCCACAAGTCTCCTAATAAGGTGAATGGATTTTGTAGTCGATCGCCCTGACATGAATCCGAACTGATTCTCAGAAATAGATATACTACTCCTCACCCTAACTTCCACCACCCTCTCCCAAACTTTCATGGTATGAGTTAGCAGCTTGAAAAAAAGAACCCGCTATTAGAAAAAGAAAGCAGGTCAAGTTTAACTTTTATCAAGGAAATGCTAATCCCAAAGAGTGAAAGAACGCATAATGGCAAGTATACTGCTGCTAGAATTAGTGAGGGCTGTCTCCAAACCATCGTACAAGGACGAGTAATGCTTAAGGAAGATTTTGCGTCAAAGTTCATTTTTAAGTTACAATGTAATTAATCTTGAAACGGAAGTTTATAAATTTTTATCTTGAATTGAACTCTTCCTCATACATCCCCCTTGAATAAACATCATTAGTTTATGCAATATTGAAGACAAAAATTCGTACCAAGGTCTCTCGAGTGCAATAAGATGATCCTTCAAATGGCTCTGCACACAAAGAAAAGCAATTATTTTTAAAGATAGTATGTATGCAGCAAACTATGTGGAAAGACAAGTTTTATCTGCATGATACAAATAATAAAGTTGTCAAAATCATACAATCAGGTGCATCATATACTAACCTAAGAGATAATTTTTGTCACATGTTGGCGTCCACCAGGGCCGCAGCTGCAATTCTTCATTGAAGGTCAATGATTTGCTTCCAATTTCATCTGAGAGCTCAAGAAACTGAACTCCATGTTTCAAGCTTTCTAGAATGCCCTAAGAAATCCCAAAAAGAAAATTCGTCACTGAATTATTAAACAGTTAAATACAATTTAAATTAACAACCCCCCCCCCCCCCCCCCCCTTTTCCTTCTTTTGTGGAGCTTTTAGTTAGGGAAGCAAAATATACCTCCTTACCTCCCAAATATATATACTACCCCCAAAACTTATTGGGAAAAGTCTGTAAAAATCCATCAAAATTAGCAGCAATATAGCACATTAATCCCTTTGACTTTCTTCTTTTATTAGCTCATAACTCCACATTACTTCTGAAAACAAGTGTTCTCCTAAAACCAATAGCTTTTTACCAACTTGACCATAAGCTCTTTTTATAAAATTGGAGATAAAAGTAAAAAATAAGGAACCATAAGCCCATTTATTAAATTATATTATCTAATTAATTCGTGAAGTTAAATGGAAAAGATAACCAAAAAAAGAGTCGAAGGGGAAGAAAAGCATGTATGCATATTGTTCTTTTTTGACCAATTATTTCAAGTTTGATGGATCTATCTATTGTTGCACTTTATCCAATCAACGGGCATGTCAAGATAAGGCGAAATAGATGTCAAAACCAATACCCCAGGGCTAAAATGTTTTTCAAAGGCATTGCAGTTATAAACGTGCAACAAAGAACTGTTCAGACAAAAAACTTAAAGTGACATGGAAAAAGGTTACCTCCTCTTCTTCGATGTTATTTGCTTTCTGCTTTAACTGCAGAATGGGTGTTTCAATCTTTGCCATCAAGTACTGGCTAGATTGTTGCAATCGCTCCTTGAACTGAACAAACTCAATAACCTAGAAAATTTACAAATGAAAATATTGTTATCATTATGCCTATTTACTGAATGCTTTATTAAATTATTCTTTTGTACAAGAAAGGAACCATTTGAAATGATATTAAAAAGAGAACCATTTAGTTATAATAAGCATTGTGAGCCTCTAACAAGAAAGTAAATATTTGCTCCATCAATACCCTCTCGGAACTCGCATCACAAGAACTAAGGTGTCCAAATATAGTGAAAAGTACTTCCTGTTAGACTTTCTCCTCAGCTGCTATAGCCAGGGGAAAGGTTGACAATGCAGTGGAAAGAGAAATTATTAAACCCCTTCTATGCGAAAATACTCCCAGAACTACTAAAAACAACTTAACCTTATTTTACTTACTTTGGGAAAAGATGCAGACTATACAAATAGAGGTAAGAGAACTCATGTACCATTTAAGGAAAAAGGTAGTTCACAAGTTCACTGATTATCCGTTTACCTCCAGCAGGTTGACCTTCAGTTAAAAGGCTACTTCCTACATTGAAGCAAAGAAAATAAGGGAGAAATTTCTATTTTTCTGTGAAATAATTAGATTTTCTCATGACGGGTACTCCAGCATCATGCAGCAAAGCCTAGCATTTGTTCATCTACCTATCAAGACGCAATTGATGTAAAGTTATGATTTAACAGCACAGTGCATGAACTAGAATCTGCCAATATGGGGGTACAGATACGGTGTAAATTGCATGATACAAACTTCTGCGCATTCAGGGAACTTGGAATACTACATCAGTTTGATTTCAAATGTTTGGTAATCATTTTATAAATAATGTCTCGCTAATATTTTTATTTTATAAATAATGTTGGATAAATCTTGCAACCATTTAGTTTCCACTGGTAGAGAATCCATATTACAAAAGAAAAGCATTTTCTTAAAGCCGAGATCCGTTGTATTTCCACGAAACCCATGCTAACCCAGCGTGAATTGAGACGGTAAATTTAGCACTACAAACACCGAAGGAATGATTTTCGTAGGTCACTAACTTACTTTAGAGTAACTCCGATGACGATATGCAAGAAATGTAAGATCAGCAGATTCTCTGAAGTGATCATCCATAAATCTTAGATAATCCCTCAAAATATCTGTTGAATCAGCCCACAATGGCGATGATAACATCTGTGGCAAAATATGGTGCGATACACTTTCCAACAATATGTTCTTGACGTCCAGTGTTTTATACCTAAATAGGAAGAGGAGAACTGTTATCATACAAGAAACATGGAAGCTTCAAAAATGGTAATCCCAAAGATTGATTTCCCAATGACAGAAATAGAACNTTTATACCTAAATAGGAAGAGGAGAACTGTTATCATACAAGAAACATGGAAGCTTCAAAAATGGTAATCCCAAAGATTGATTTCCCAATGACAGAACTAGAACGTATCACAAACATGTAATGTACTGATTTCTGGTGAACAATGAGAAAAATGATCTTACCATTCATAAGCCAATGGAAGAGAATTCCAGTGAGAGTACAAATGCAACAGTAAAATCTTGTACTGCCAAATATGTCTGTCAACCATGCACCATAGATATTATGTCAGGAAAAAAACAACCTTTCAAGAGAAGCTAAGCACTAAAAATATACAATGTATCATGAAGGATTATCAGAATTCATATCAGCACAGTTCTCTAGTTATATGATAAGGAACTAAAGTTATTATAGCATATGAATTAATAGCAGTAACTCTATTGTTAGCAAAGTAATAGTAAAAATTATTTCCAAAGTTTAAGGAAAAAGATAGGTAAAGTACAGAAATATAAGCTTCATGTTACCAGCAGTAGTTTTGAGCATGTGCCAATTATGCAACAAGAACAAAGAACGGTAAGGAATCATTCTCGGTGGGCCATCCTTTCTTAATCTGCACTAACCTTCATTTTTCTCAACTGGTTATCTTAAATAACCTTGCCTAAGACCAACTTGTTAGGTCAGCGAGGACTTCCATAGAAGTCCATCACACGGTTACGATTCCTTTTCCATACAACTCCAGTACTTTCAACAATTCAAATCTTAAAACTTTGATAGGTTTTCTTCATCATACTAACTTTTCACCCATTGCTTTTATATTTTCTTCGATTATAATTAAAAGTCAAATTAACATCATAAAGTTGAAAACCGTCGTATAAAATGGGATGGAGTTCTATATCCTTTTCAAAAGCATTTATTTTTCTTTACCCTTGCAGTTGTTTTGTAAGAAGAATATAGCTGAGGCATGTTTTATGTGGCTCGTTACACACAAGGCTTCTCTCACTCGAATCAACCTGAAGCGACTGGGAATGATGATATGCAGCAGGCGTTATTTGTGCTACAAGGAGAAAGAGAACAGCAATCATCTTTTTATGCACTGCGCAGTGTGATGCCTTGCTCCGTGAAAGATTTGTTGTTCAGTTGAGATTATGGTGGTATTAGAAAATCTCTGAAAAGAATATGGAACACAAGGCCAGCTTGTGTCTGTTGGGTATCATGGGAAGAAAGGAATTCCAAGTGCTTTGAAGGAAAAAGCAACCCAGTAGAGTTTCTAAAGTACAAATGTTTGTGGTTTTTACCGTTCTGTTGCAACACTCAAGATGTAATGATGAAGACGGCATGATAGAGTTCATCAACTCACTACAGGAACAGAATTTCTTTTTGTGTATAGCTGGGATCCCTTCTTTTTTTGTTTTTGTAGGAGGGTCTCAGTTCTTGTAACTCACAAGCACCGTCTTAGTGCTTGGCTGTTGATCACTACTTTACCAGTTTCAGAAAAAAACTATAGCTGAAGTTCAATAGATTAACTTTCTCGAATGATTGAAAAGACTTATTCCACAATGCAAGTATGCAAACATATACGTCACTCGTGATGTATTTGACACTTGAATATTGCATTCCAGCAAGTTCCTGATGTAGATGGATACCTTGTCTTGTATTTGGATCCAGAAACCCAATGTAAAGGTGGCGTTTGAATTGGGAAACTGGCTTCTTTTTAGTTTGGTTTTGGTCGTTGGAAAAAATTTATGTATTTTACATTTGCTTCTGAAAGAATTGGGCCTTTACGCAATAAAATAGCTAAAGAAAAGGTTAATAGACAGAAATAGACCAAGAATCTTTATTCAGTACGAAACATAATTATGAGTAGGGGTGGCAAACGGGCGGGGAAAGGGCGGATATAGGACGGGTCGAAAACGGGTAATGCAAAAACGGATAAATTATCTGACTCGAGCCATATTTAATACGGATAAAAATGAGTTAACCGGCGAATAATATAGATATCCATATTATCCATGGCTTCTTATATATAATCACTTTTGGGAGGAATTCCTAGTCTCCCAAACTTGAGGAACCCCCAATTTGAGGCTTTACAAATGTAAAAATTATACTCATTAGTTATCCATTGGTTATCTATTTTCTAAATGGATAATATGGTTCTTATCCATATTTGACCCGTTTTTAAAAAGTTCATTATCCAACCCATTTTTTAATGAATCATATGGGTGGATAATTGTTTTCTTTTAGGCAAAATACATAACTTACCCCCTAAATTATGGACCTAATCCCTATGACACACTTTTGCGGATGAAAATTACGTTACACACTCAACCTTTCTAAATTGTAACTAAGACACACCATTTTTGTCTTGACCAGTTTTTCAGAATATGTGTAATGTCAAGCACCACTAAAGTCGTGACACGTGTCATTATTTTTATTCAAAAAAATTAACACTTAAAATTACAACTATACCCCTTAACCATCTTCTCACTTTCATCTCTTTCTCTTCTTCGGCAAATTATACTCAGTCGTCGACGACCCAAAATCCAGACCTCCACCTTCTAATTCAAACCCAAAAAAAAAAAAAAATTAGAAGCCCCAATCAATTGCTCCTAGAATATACTTTTTCTCCAATAGTATTCCAGATCCCCGTACAATTAGATTAATATCTCTACAAAAAGTTGAAGTTCGATTTTCTGGACGTTGAAATCCACGATTAAGTACGAATTAGAGCTGCCTTACCCATTCTTTGGTAATAAATTAAGCGTGTCAAAGTTATTAGCTACAAGTTCATGGATTAGTTTTGGTGGTTTTGGAGATGGCTCTTATTGTGGGGGGTGTTGTTGCTTCGGCGGCCCCGATGACGTCGTTATGGGTTTGGATTCATAGAGTGGAGATGGCCAAAGATTATTGTTTGTGTTTTGGGGCTGCTTTATCTGTTATTTGCTCTTTGATGTTTTTGTTTTAGCCATGGCCGAAGGTGGAGAGGTTTAGATGGGTCTGGTGGTGGATGGGTGGGTGTGTTGCTGTAGAAAAATAAAAAAAGAAACTAAAAATAGAAAAAAAGAAAATTAATTTTAATCATTGGATAATTTTAATAGATCTGGACTGTTGAAATAAAGTCCCAAATATGCAGTTTTTTACTGTTCACGTGCCTCATTTTGTTTGTAAGACGCGCGTTGGCCACGTACACAAAGAGGTGTATCTTAGCTATACTTTAGAAAGGTTGAGTGCGTAAGGTAATTTTCGTCCGCAAAAAGTGTGTCACAGGGATTTGGTCCATAGTTCAGGCGTAAGTTATGTATTTTGCCTTTCTTTTATCCATTTTTCCACCACTAATTATGAGAATCTGAATTGCTTAAGAAAAAACAAAATAGAAAAATAAAGAACAGCTTAAGTAGAAAAGGGTTTGTTCTATTATTAGAATATAGCCATTTGCCTTTTTTCTTTTTTTTCCCCTAGAAACTAATGTTTCCCTGCTTAAAAAATAAAATAAAATAAATGTTTTGGTTTCCCATGTAAAAAAAAATATAAAAAATAAAAAAAAATTGTTGTTTGGTTTCAAAACCAAAACCAACTATTTTGTAGAAAACAAGAAATATTGTTTGGAAACCAAGTAGCACACACTAAGAATTGCAATGGCATCTTGACCAGACTGTATACAACATACAACATACCTAGTGTAGTCCCACAAGTGGAGTCTGGGGAGGGTAGAGTGTACGCAGACCTTACCTCTGCCTTTAAAAAGCCATTGCAAAAAGGAATCAGTAAAATGGTACATGTTTATGGTTCTAACAGACCATCTCTCCCCGGTATCTGGTAAAATCAAGTTTATACCTAGTTTTTGACCTACATGAACATTAGCACCTTAGCACCAAATTTCCATGTTTCCTTGGGCAACTTTCACTATACCCTTTGTATCCTTCACAGACTTTCCATTCTTGAGTTGCAAAAATTCAGACTTAAAGGACAACTCAGTTATATCTAGCATAAGTAGCATTGTTGGTCTCAAGAAAAACCACTCTTACTTTTACCTCTCTTCACTTCACAAGATACCAAACAACCCAGTACATTCAAATCCAACACATGAGTATTCTATTTTTACAACACAAGTATTCAAGCATAAGTAGCATTGATGCACCTCATTAAGTTTGACCATTCTGTTGTATGCCTCAATCCTAAACAGGTCGAGATTGGTTACATGAATCCTCATTGACCATTTTATGTTATTATTTGGAGAAGGCAACAAATATTATATATAAAATAAAGTAACCCTTACCACAAAGATTGTGCTAAGACAACAACAACAGACTCAGTATAATCCCACAAGTGGGGTCTGGGGAGGGTAGTGTGTGTGCAGACCGTACCCCTACCTTGAGAAGGTAGAGAGGTTCCGATAAACCCTCGGCTTAAGAAAAGATGCAAAAAGAAGCAGATAACAAGATAACAACATGCAATAACTACAAGATACAAAAAGTAACGCAAGATAACAAGAAAATCGAGGCGAGAGAAACGGCAAGTAGTAATAGAAATCTAAAAAAGAAAATGCATGGCTCACGACTACCTACTACCCTTCTACTCTAATTTTCGACCTCCACACTCCCCTATCAAGAGTCATGTTCTCTGTAAATTGAAGCAGCGCCATGTCCTGCCTAATCAACTCCCCCCAATACTTCTTTGACCTACCTCTACCTCTCCTCGGGCCCATCGATGCCAACTTCTCACACCTACTTACAGGGGCATTTGCGCCCCTCCTTTTCACATGTCCGAGCCATCTAAGCCTCGCTTCCTGCATCTAGTCCTCCATGGGGGCCACGCCCATCTTGTCCCGAATATCTTTGTTCCTAATCTTATCTAGCTTAGTATGCCCGCAAATCCAACTCAGCATCCTCATTTATGCTACCTTCATCTTCTGGACATGGGAGTTCTTGATTGGCAACACTCAACCCCATACAACATAGTCTGCCGAACACCACTGTGTATAACTTACCTATGAGTTTAGGTGGCACATTCTTATTACACGGAACACCGGATGCGAGCCTCCATTTCATCCACCCACCTCCGATACGATGCGTGACATCCTCGTCAATTTTAACATTCCCTTGGATTACTCACCCAAGGTACTTGAAACTTCCTCTTGATGATGACTTGTGTATCAAGCCTCACGTTCATATCCTCATCATGAGTCACATCATTGAATTTGCACTCCACGTATTCAGTCTTGATCCTGCTCAACTTGAAACCTTTAGACTCCAGTGTTTGTCTC